GTGGTGACATTTTGCATGTTTATGCAGTTATTCTCTTAAAAGTGATACGTTTGGTTTTGATACTTTGTAATGCCAGTTGCATCCAATGTCTGGCATTCAGCATCTATTACACAAATTGCAGGGTGACATTTTCCCCAATTTCATGTACTTTCAGGTATGCTCTACATTATCTCTTGTGTGGTACCACTTATGTATTTTGATACCCTGAACATCTCTGCCTAGAAAGTTATCGATAGGAGGCTAATATCTCTCTCGATGCCAATAATGGCTGTTACCTACACTACACTGATTGTGGTGGAACTTAGTAACTTACTGATTATATATTGTGTGGATTGTGGAATCATTTCTTTGGAGAGAACAACATTATCACAGTCTTCTGTTGCACAACTAATGTATTTGGATACCCAGACCATCTCTACATAGAAAGTTATCGATAGGAGGTGGACATCTCTCGCGATGCCACTAATGACTGGTATCTACACTTTGATGGTGATGGAACTTAGTTACTGACTGATTACATATTGTGTGGAATCATTACCTTGAAGAGAACAACATTATCATATCACAGTCTTCTGTTGCACCATGTATCTTGATACCCAGACCATCTCTGCATAGAAAGTAATCGATAGGAACCTGTTATCTCTCGCTGTGCCACTAATGACTGTTATCTACACCTTGGTGGTGATTGAACTTAGTTACTGACTGATTACCTAGTATGTACAATCCTTACCTTGAAGAGAACAGCATTATCACACAGGAGGTTGTCTTCTCTCATGATGCCATAATTGTTACCAAGACTTGGTAATGGTCCTGGTGGTTGTGAAACCCCATTATGGACTAGGATTACATTGTGTGTTGAACAAATTGTGACCTAACATAAAAGTACTAATATAATGAACATATTTATATATGTGTGTACAATAAACATTATTCGATATTGACTACTGTATTATTCTATTTGCTGCTGTTGAACATCTGTATTCAAAATATACATCTGAATTCAAACATTTAACAAGTGTGTGCAGGTTCCATCATGACTTATGAATGGACTTTAGGAAAACTTATGAAACGCTATATGCACAATAGTCATTTTTTCTTTATGTTGTGTTCAAAAATATTGAGCAATCAATTTGCCAATAGATGGCATAATACATCAATTTCACGTAAATTCTTCTCAGTTCATTGAAAATATATAAATTGAACCAATGTTGGAAGAGAATTAACATTAAATTCGCAATTGATTGCCGTTTGTGTTTTCAACCTATTGATCACTTGAGTGTTGAAGTAATAATATAATTCCAATAGAGGAGTTGCTATGAAGATAAATAAATAGATGGCAGTGGAGGTTTTTGTCAGTTAGATTATTGTTTTTATTCATGATAAGGAGACACAAAATTTAGTCTCTGACTATTAAAAATACAAATCTCGTTTAAAATGACACTTAAAAGCTACACAGCAATGCCTAGTTGCCTGCTCCATCTAGCGATTGTGGACTCCACTATTACATATGTACGTATCCGCTATATGTTTATAATAATCTCGTTATCCAAACAGAATGTCAATACAATTTACCACAATAACATCCATCCCATGCACCAAGTTGAAATTTGAACTGGAGCAAAATTTTAATAAATAGTCAATTGCTAATATGTGTAGAACCTTTAGGGGAATATATATGCTGACTTTCATTTAAAAAAATTGATTTGTAGTCTCCAATTTTGAGAAACTTAGAAAACACAGTTTGTGATTTCGTTTGATGACCTTGACCGTTGACCTTGCAAATTTTACTTTGGTAATAGAGAAAAAATAATAACACTGGATTCTGATAGTGCTGCCATCTTTTTATCTGCCCAGAACCTACATGTACATTGTATGGTCCATACCTTAATCGGTGGTCAGTATCAAGCACAAGTAACTGACGTTACCTTCGTATTCAAGATGGCGGACGATTGTTGAAAGGATGTAGTGCACCCTCCATTATGATCTCCCCATAAAAAAATAAATTCATCTGATTTTTCAAAATAAATATACTGCTTTTATTATTACATTTATATGTACACTAATATCTTTTTGACCTATATTCAGCACTATCGATGAATAGGCCACTTATTAGGGCCAATATTCAACCATAAAGTGTACAGGGGTAGAGATGCCAAACCAGGTCTTTTTGTGTCTGTCAAAATCCATTTGCATCCTACACATCCCTACATCTTATCCAAATATGTTATGAATTAATGAATTTTAACAGTATAATCTTTGGATTTACAAAGTTGTATGGGATTTCATAAGTGTAAAAGTTGCTTTTGAAGCATTTTTCTATAGCCATTTTGTAGGGAAAAAATGATGAAAAATCTTTTAATTTGAAGTATGACCTGAATCGATTGCAAACTTTATATTTGCACATCTGACGTGATATACCATTTGTGTCATATTGTGAAATTATTTAATTTGCAATCGATTCAGGTCATCGTGTATTTTAGGTATTTTTGTGAAAATCAATAGAAACCAATGGCCTCCATTGGAATCTGATGATATCCACATGTTAAGTCAATGGAGCACATTCAATGTCAAGTCAATACAACCTCGCTGAACTTAATGACCGGCCTCAACCTCAGCCCATGTTGGTCCAAACGCTTGAATATTTTCCAGAGTATTATGTGACATTGTATTCTTTATGTTACACCTAAAAATGATTCATTTTGTTCATGGGGTAATCATAATGGAAAGTGCACTAGACCCTTTTGACATCATCGAATTACTCAGATGCGAGTAGGTAGTTAACAGTTTCGCCACCAGGTGGCTGATTCGGGGAATTAACATGGCAGTGTATTACAAAATTCCCTTAAACTTGAATATGCATCAGTTTTAGTGGTTCTCTTATCATATTACCCTTATGTATCTGATAGTTATACAGATTAAAATATGTCCAGTAAAAGAAAATGTTATCTGCCCAACACAAGAAAAAATATATCACTTTTTGTGGTTTTACAACATGGGGTCTATGGGGAATCTCCCCGACCTAGAAGTCACATTTTCAAAGCAAATTAAATTTTCAAAGTTGATAAACTCTTTTCAAAACCACATTCACACTACCCTACCTCGATAGCGCATGCGCAATTTTTTGGGCTTTCAACCAGGTCGCTTTTGAGCATAGCCGTAGGCAGCGGGGGTTCGAACGAACCCCCGGTCAGGATTTCCCAAAATATCAGTTTGGTGAAAATAACCAGAAACATTAAATTACTGTGCTATTTGAAATATATGAGCAATAAATGAATTGATATTTATTATGGTGAACACGAGAGCCTTATTTTGTTAAAAACATGTCAAAACGTTTGGCAACCTTAGGCACGGGGTGAGATTCAATTTTGGGAAGACCCCAGAGCATGAGATTTTACATTTAGAAATAACAATAATTTCGCACAATTAACTTAAAAGCTGCTTCTTCTCGACAAAATAACCCATCTTGGGCAATGGCTAAATCAGTCCTTTGTAGGAATTTTGTTTTAAGCCAGTTCTGGTCCAATACGAAGATATTGAAACTCGAAAACAATGCAGACATCCCATACTCCGAATGATTTTTACAACATTGACGAATAAATATCTAGAAAAGTTGTAATATTGATGAAACACATGTTCTTTCAATTAAATGTGTACATCTCTGTTTTGTTTTATTTCAATTAAAATTTAAAATATTTCTTGGGACGTCCCTGGGGCTGGCATAGTCCCCGAAACCAATTCGTTAAATAATTAAAAACGTTGTGAAATTAATTATTTAAAAGCGTATATCATTTATAAACACAAGCATTTGTTCAAATTTATTCATTCTTTCAATTGTTCAGTATTTATTTACCCATCACTTTCCAAAAAAAATAAATCATTGCAAAAAATGATTTTGTTTTTTCAGATACACTCCACTCATCTAAGAGATTGTATAGAATTCAAATTGTTACCGTTCCAGTTTACTTGCTCTCCATTTTCATGTTAATGTCATGATATGTTTAGCGAATAAATTACATAATAAAAAAAATTGAAAATCATATGGTATTAATCTTCAAATAATGAAAGCTTTATTTGTTATCAAGCCGTCTGAACTTAACAAAATACATTTTATATTCGAACAGTCGCTTGTATTTATATATGATTTATATTCACCAAAACGTTTTTATTATCAGTTGCAGTTAATCTGCTCCGGGGGACTTACAACTCCGGGAACGTCCAAAGCAATATTTTTAACTTTTTAAAACAAAGCATAACCGAGACCCACTTATTTGAATAATAGATATTTTTATCAGTAATACGACTATCCCGGATAGTTTAAAAAGCCTTCGTATAAACGTTGTGAAAAGTTATCATAGAAGAACGACCTTTCCGAGTACAGGGTGTTTGCGCCAATTTTAATAACCTCGCATTTGATCCGAACTGGCTTCCAACAAAATTCCTGAAAAATAATGACAAGCCATTGCATGAGGTGATTTATTTTGTCCTAGATGAAGTAGCTTATAAAGAATAAATTGTGCGAAATAGTTTATATTCCTTGGAAACAAATCATGCTCCAGGATCTTCTAGAAGTCAGACGAAATAATGCTGGATTCGGGGCAAATCAGATTTCAGGATATGTATTCAGTAAAAGATTCACCGAAATATATTTTGATGCAGAAAATTAATTGTAATAAGTTGTCTGACTTTTTTGAACGTTGCCTAAAGTGAACATTTAAGTTAGAAAGCTACAAGGTCATTTTTGAAAATCGTTTTTACGTCCTGTGTTATTTCAATGGGAGAGGTTTCTTGATATAGCCTATTACTTTCAGACTTTGCTTAAAACGTAAATAAAGACATCATATTTGTTAAATAAAATTCAAATTCAATTGTCTACTTAATTTAATGATGGTATTAATATGAATCATATTTCCCCTCCTTTTCTTTACAAATTATGCATATAAAATTGCTTTAATACATAATCCAATAGGTTAGTTAGGATTGCCAAACTTTTGGAGAGAGTGTAATTGTACAAATTGCATTATTTGAGGAACCCTAATAAGGGGGGGGGGGGGATTTGTGAATAACATAAAAATAGAACCCCCGGTCACCAAATCCTGGCTACGCCACTGGTACTGTATTGGTTGTTGTGATTATTTTCCAGTGTTAAGAGTTTAATGTCCTCTTGCATCTTGGCCATATTGGCTTTCATAGAATTTATATCCGTTTTGATCATCTCATTTTCTTTTTTTATCTCTTTTAGTTCAGCCGTGAAAAGTGCCATACTTTCCTTCATTGATTCTTCAATTACAGAACGCATTTCCATCTTCATTTCTTCTTTGAAAGCTTTGTAATCTTCTTTTGTCACCAAAGAGTTCAGTTTATCTTGTGAGATTCTTGTTGTCATCTTGGAAATCTGAGTGCGAAATAGGCCATCAGCTTCACCCCAAAATTTAGGTTATCGGTATCAAATCAGGGGAATAATCGCCATGGTGATTTTCGGGAAGGTTAAGACCTCTAGAGTAAGAAACTATGTGATAGCATTGCCACAGTTGTAGCTAAATGGGTGTTATAACCCATTTTTCAAAATGGCCGCCGGTGCACGTGTTACAATATAAGAGTGGGTATATCTAAGCACACTGAGATGCAGAAACTGTGATTTTAGGGCCTATATTGAGGTTTTAGGGGTCAAGGATTTCATTTATGCCAAAATCTAAGTCATCAAGCAATTACTTCTTATAGAAATCCAAGATGGCCACCAAAATGGGTGCCAAAACGAATACCGGTATGTAACCATTGATTTAAGCTCAAAGAACAGTTAAGAACAGTGATTTTGGAGATCATGTCACTGAGTTCTCGAGTCAAGGATCTCATTTATGTCTAAATCAGAGTCATCAAATAATAAACTTTTCATAGAAATACAAGATGGCCACCAAAATGGATGCCAAAACGATTGCCAGTATGTAACCATTGATTTAAGCTCGAAGGAGAGTTAAGAATAGTGATTTTGGAGATCATGCCACAGTTCTAGAGTCAAGGATTTCATTTATGTCTAAATTGGAGTCATCAAATAATTACCTTTTCATAGAAATACAAGATGGCCGCCATAATGGGTGCCAAAATGAATATGTAACTATTGATTTAAGCTCAAAGAACAGTGATTTTGGAGATCATGTCTTGGTTTTAAGGGTCAAAGATTCCATTTATGTCTAAATCTAATCAAATAATAATTACTTTTTATAGAAATCCAAGATGGCCACCAAAATGGGTGCTGAAATGAATATGTAACTATTGATCTAAGCTCAAAGAACAGTTAAGGACAGTGATTTTGGAGACCATGTCCAGGTTTAAGAGGCCAAGAATAACTATTTTGTCTATAATTAAGTCATAAAACAATTCCTTTATTTTGAATCCAAGATGACCGACCACCAAAATGGCTCCAGAGTCACGATTTTGAGGACTGACTAAAATGTTTATCTTCATCAAACTCTTTCTGGTTTATCATACACTTGTCTTTGAGGAATTTCTTGTGCTTGATCTTCTCCATCCAATAATCTACTTCTTCCCATGGGCAGTCTACTTCTTTCTATAGTCAATGTTTATGATACTGAGCCACCACAAAACTAAGGGAAAGGAAGGCAAATTACAGTAATATTGCTAATGTGATGATCATAAGATTTTATTTCGCAAATCTTCATGTAATTGTTTGTTCTTTTTTGACCTTTTATAATATTAACACTTTGGCATCCATCTTGAATTCTGATATTAATCACAGATTGTTTGGTGATCTATGTGGTTAAATGGATACGAATTCATTTTGGAGGCCATCTTGGATATCCATATAAATAAAATATTTGTTGATTTTTTATTGGATCCAAATAAAGGAATTAGTTATAGTTTTAGACATAACTGAAATTCTTGACACCAAAAATCTTGACATGGTCTCAAATTACTGTTATAAACTGTTCTTTGAGCTTAAATCAATATTTACTTGTTATTGGCACTGTTTTTGGTGACCATCTTGGATTTCTATGAAAAGCAATTATTCGATGACTCAGATTAAGACATAAATGAAACCCTTGACCCCTAAAACCTAGACATTGTCTCCAAAATCACTGTTCTTAACTGTTCTTTGAGCTTAAATCAATAGTTAAATATTCATTTTGGCACCCATTTTGATGGCCATCTTGGATTTCTAGATAAAGCAATTGTTTGATGACTTAGATTTAGACATAAATGAAATCCTTGATCCTTTAAACCAAGACATTGTCGCCAAAATAACTGTTCTCAACTGTTCTCTGAGCTTAAATCAATCAGTTACATATTCATTTTGGCACCCATTTTGGTGGCCATCTTGGATTTCTATGTAAAGTAATTGTTTGATGACTTAGATTTAGACATAAATGAAATCCTTGATCCTTTAAACCAAGACATTGTCGCCAAAATAACTGTTCTCAACTGTTCTCTGAGCTTAAATCAATCAGTTACATATTCATTTTGGCACCCATTTTGGTGGCCATCTTGGATTTCTATGTAAAGTAATTGTTTGATGACTCGGATTTAGACATAAATGAAATCCTTGACCCCTAAAACGCAGACATGTGCTCCAAAATCACTGTTCTTAACTATTCTTTGAGCTTAAATCAATAGTTGAATATTCATTTTGGCACCCATTTTGGTGGCCATCTTGGAATCTTTATTTTAAGTAATTGTTTGATGACTTAGATTTAGACATAAGTCAAATCCTTGACCCTTAAAACCTAGATATGGTCTCCAAAATCACTGTTTTTAACTGTTCTTTGAGCTCAAATCAATAGTTACATATTCGATTTGGCATCCATTTTGGTGGCCATCTTGGATTTCTATGAAAAGTAATTATTTGATGACTCAGATTTAGACATAAATCAAATCCTTGACCCCTAAAACGTAGACATGGGGTCCAAAATCACTGTTCTTAAGTGATTCTTGAGCATTAACAGTAGTTACATATCCGTTTTTGCACCCATTTTGGCGGCCATCTTGGATTTCTATGAGAAACAATTGTTTGATGACTTAGATTTAGACATAAATGAAATCCTTGACCCCTAAAACCTAGACATAGGTCCTAAAGTCACAGTTTTTGCATCTCAGTGTGCTTAGATATACCCACTCTTGTATTGTGACACGTACACTGGCGGCCATTTTGAAAAATGGGCGATAACACCCATTTAGCTACAACTGTTACAATGCTATCACATATTTTCTTACTCTAGAGGTCTTAACCTTCCCAAAAATCACTATGGCGATTATTCCCCTAATTTGATACCGACCAACCCCCCAGGCTGATGGCCTAAAAGGGTTAATACTGAACTTTGCTGCAATGTCTCAAGTTTTGATTCACAAAAAGTCCTTTTTTCGTAAACTTTTGCTTAGATATGTGTATTTTCAGTTGGCTTAAATGTTTATAAATCTGTAACTATTAGAAATAAACTAAATATTCATGTATTTTCTCATATAACTTCAATATTGTCAGGAGCTCAAAATGTAGCCTGTTAGCTCTTCATGCACATCTGTGTTCAAAATTTACAGTGTAAAGTTATATCTATGTCTTTTTATCGTCATTTGCCGTTTATTCAGCCATTGTGTCTGTGTATGCTAGAATATATAAGATCCCTCCATCTGATTAAATCAGCAAAGTTTGTGTTCAAAACGATAATACGCCATAAACGTGATTTAAACATTTTTCTTGTCAAACTGCGCGCCTATATTCACATGTATTTCCCAAACTGCGTGCCTATCCAAGCTTGTTTTGTATTATTAGAAAACATAAGCGCCATACAAGGCACATATGTGTCTAATAGTAGAACCCCATAATTGAAACACTATGAGAGTCCATCCACCAAGATGGTGATCTGAAAATAAAAGTTTTTTCGTTCCCAACTTAATTGTCACTTCTATTATACATTTTGACTTTCAATATGAAAATCTCATAAAATCTGACGATAAAGCTAAATTTCCAAAGCTACATGAAAAACACCTACACGTGCCTCTGTAGAAATTCCAATGATAATATGTAGTTTTAATAGTGTATGCGCACAGTTTGTAATTTCTGGCTAAAATAGGCGCGCAGTTTGTGATTTATATCTTTTTAATCTCCTGATTATCTGTTTTATCTCGAAATATTTTGAATTATACATGATAAATGTGTAAGGAATTAAATATAAAACGAGTCTAAAGTATTTGTCATTTATGTTTAAAGTGCTAGATCGATTTACGTATATACATTCCCGTTAAATCAGTGACGAAAATGCCATTAATATGCTTATGTTTTAAAACTTAGATTCATTTGCACATAGTTTTTGCTAGTATTTGCAAGATTTGTATATTCGTCACAGAATGAACGCATTGAACAAGAAAACAATGCAGGATAAATGTCTTTAAATTACGTTTCAAAATACAGACTCCAACTTAAATGATGCAATGTTCTTAGGCACGCAGTTTGTGATCGAAACAAACTGCGTGCCTAAGTAGGCGCGCAGCTTGACATGGGCACCGTGTAGAGGCTGAAACAAGAGCGTCTCTTGCGAGGACAAATATAGGAAATTCAATATTCCATTTCTTACCCATTATAACAATAACATGGAAAGAGGCTATCAGATCTAGCAACCTTGACTTGACAGATGTACATGCACGTAACCGTCTGCTAAATATCTTATACAATATGTTACCGTCCATAGAATTCGATAGAAGTCATACGTAGTCGTCTAACAACATTGCTTTTGAAACCTGTACACCACGTTCCTGTTCTGGATTTGTCATTTTATGCATTGTTTATATACAGTTTACTCACGGTTAATATTTTGAGTGGCTCTGGATATCTCAGTCGGTAGGTTTACAGCTTAAATTCTGTTTCTTGTAGACCACCTGGGAGATTTGACCCAGTCTTTATAACCATCCATATATACGTCACCGAATAGAACTAGTTTAAAAGGAAATCTTATCTGTGAATATTGCCTACAGGCGAGAAAGAGGACATGCTGCCTTTCCCAACAGCCATTTTTTGTTATCGTTTACCGCAAAATTTTGCAAATCCCCTTGACGTAATGATCATGCTATAACACTGTGAGTAGACCCCACTTTATAAAGTCACATAAAGTGAAATATCACATAAAGTGAAATGGTTGTGGCAACATAGTGTATAGCATTTGAGCTGAATGATTACTTGACTATCACCTCTTAAATAGAAACCAAAGTTGAAATCACTTTTTGGACACAAATGATTTGAACAGAATGATGTAATGAATCCAGCAAAAATGTTAATTATAAGGCTATTTCACTGTTATTCCATCAAAACCTCCAATCAACAATTACAAACAATTAACACAACAAATCAAGTAGAGTTTTAAAGTTTAATTCTAAATAAATAATTTAGATCTGATATTTTACATCAGTTTCATCAACTATAAGAGCATAGCAAATTATATGAAATACATGGCCCTATTAGGGCAAAATCTGACTAAAGTCAAACCTAACAAGACACAAATTACAAAG